TACCTTATATCCTATCTCTTCATATCTATCATATGATGCATTATCATCTCTTCATAAATCATATGTCCTTAATCTTTCCCAAGTTAGTGAACCTAAAACCTATAACCAAGCCATCAAACATGATTGTTGGAGAAATGCCATGGATCAAGAAATTGCAGCTTTAGAAAATACCAAAACTTGGGTTTTGACTGATCTACCTAATGGAAAGCAACCTATCGGATGTAAATGGGTATACAAAATAAAGAGGCATGCTGATGGGAGTATTGAACGATACAAGGCAAGGCTTGTAGCCAAAGGCTACACACAACAACAAGGTTTAGATTACTTTGAGACTTTTTCACCTGTTGTCAAACTCACAACAGTAAGATTGGTTCTAGCTTTAGCAGCTTCCAAACATTGGTATTTACATCAACTAGATGTAACTAATGCCTTTTTACATGGGGATCTAGATGAAGAAGTATACATGTCTCTTCCTCTTGGTTATAAATCTGAAAAACCAGGACAAGTTTGCAAGTTGTTGAAGTCTTTATATGGACTCAAACAAGCCTCTAGACAATGGAATTACAAGTTGACAACTACTTTACTTTCTTTGGGCTACACACAATCAAAATCAGATTATTCACTTTTTGTCAAAAGTGATTCTGCTCATATTACCATCTTACTTGTTTATGTAGATGATATAGTTTTGGCAGGTGATGACATCCAGGAAATCCAAACTGTGAAGGCTCTATTGAATGCAAAGTTCAAGATTAAAGACTTAGGCCAACTCAAGTATTTTCTGGGCTTAGAAATTGCAAGATCTCAACAGGGCATTAATTTGTCACAAAGGAAGTATGCTCTAGAGTTACTAGAAGATGCAGGATTGTTGGGGTGTCAACCTGTTTCTACTCCTATACAGCCAGGCACAAAATTTTCCAAGACAGAAGGGAAACCCTATTCAGATGTGCAGGCCTATAGACGACTTCTTGGCAGGTTACTATATCTAACCAACACAAGACCAGATTTATGTTTCGCTGTTAGTACTCTCAGTCAATTTCTTTCCAATCCTTTGGAAGATCACTATGCAGCAGCAATAAGAATCCTGAGATATATCAAGAACAATCCAGGACAAGGATTATTCTTTCCCTCCAACACAGAACATGCTCTCAAGGCTTTTAGTGATTCTGATTGGGCTGCTTGCCCTGACACTAGAAGGTCTGTGACTGGTTTTAATGTGTTCTATGGTGCATCATTAATTAGCTGGAAATCCAAGAAGCAAGGTACTATATCTAGATCATCAACCGAAGCAGAATATAGAGCTTTAGCTTCCACAACATGTGAAATTCAATGGCTTCTGTATTTGCTCCATGATTTGAAACAACCTCTACCACAACCAGTTTCTCTGTTTTGTGACAATCAATCTGCTATACAAATTGCACAAAATCCAGCCATGCATGAAAGAACAAAGCATATTGAAATTGATTGTCATCTCATAAGAGATAAAGTTCAAGCTGGTGTAATTAAGCTCCTGTCCATTCCTACTTCAGCACAACTTGCAGACATTCATACTAAAGCTTTGCATCCAGCACAATTTCAATCTTTGTTGTCCAAGCTAAGCATTAAGGATATATATGTTGCAGCTTGAGGGGATATTGGATTTAATTTATTTTCCTTTCTTTTCTCATAACAGTAAATTCAAAGACTTAACAAAAAAATAAAGAAAAATTTATATTTAATTGTAACACATATATATAGATTAATATATATATATATATATATATATATATATAATTATTTATGAAGAGAAAATAATATTTATAATATTACATGTTGAACATGTTGTCACTTACTCAACAGTAACGTTTAATTATTGGAGAGATTGCAAATGATCTCTATGATTGGTTTTGCAATATTTAAAAGTGCAAAGTCTTCAAAGTAGGTGAACGACTAAAGTATCCAACATCTTTCCACAAATCATCCAATAAGTTACGCCTAACAATTATATATGTTTATATCCCTTACGAAAAAGTTCAACACACCACTCTTTTCCCCTTTTATTTTCGTAGCACTCAGAATAATCAAATTCTTTAAAACTGGAGTGCCAAGATGCTAAAAGAGAAGGTAACAATACTTTAAACCAAAAAAGAAAATTTCATAAATTAAGTAGTCTTCCATGAAGATGGAATTATTTCTAATAAATTAGCTTTTATAAAAACTATACGTTAGTCAAATAAAATAATAAAAATAATAAAAAAATAAAATAAAATAAAAGATTAAAGAACTAAATAACAAAATATAAAAATAAATTTATGAAAAGATTTAAAAAGATAAAAAACAATATAAAAAAATAGGTTGATTTTACTATTTTTTTAAATATGATTCATCATTGGTTATCAAAAAATTATTGTTTTAGATTTTCAAATTAATCAATGTGAATTCTCAATTAATTTGTTGGCATTCTCACTCTTAGTCAAAGTACATTATCAATTTAAAACAAGCACTTTGTAAATTAATCATAATAAATTTAACCAAAGTAGATTCTCAATTAAATATTACCATGTCTAATCATGTTTATTCTTTTACCTCTTATATCAACTAAAAAGTTATTTAAACAAAGTACAATTTTGATTAATTCTTGTTAAAGTTTGTACCACTAACCAAATTACATTCTCAATTATTGGCAAAAATTCATTCAATCACATGAAAGTTTTTAACTATAATCAAAGTGTATTCTCAAGTAAAAGTAAAAACCCTTGGACTCATATGATTGATTTGTTATGTAGATTTAACTTCATGCTAACTTTTTATGATGTAAAATCGTTACTTTTACTTTATCAAGAAGCAAAAGACATAGATAAGAATAAATCACAAAGAAAAGAACAAACAAATTTATTCATCTAAATAGTGCTGTCAAAATAGGTTGGAACCCATGAGTCAACTTAGCCCACCACAAGTTTGGGCCAGGTTAGGTTGAAAAAAAAATTGAAATTTTGATACGGGTCAATTTTGTACCTAACCCACTAAGAACCTGGCTCACCCAAGTTGAATCTCTGGTGAGCCGGGTTGGCTCGCAAACCCACCTAATTTTGTTGTTTGTCCTTGCATTTGGATTATATTTGGAGTTTAAGATGATTTTTGATTGTATTTTATTTGAATTAGAAAAAAATTGTTAATTTTTTAGAGTTGAAAAAAAAAACGTGTAAATAAGTGAGCTACTGGGCTAACCCATTTAACTCACCAACCTATGGTGAGTTGGGTCGTGTTCAAATTCTTTCGACTTGCTAATAAGTGAGTCGGGCTGTGTTTAAATTTTTTTGGCTCGCTAATAAGTGAGTCGGATTGGGTTGGCTCACTAAGTGGCCAACCCATGGTAGGGCGGGTAAGGTTTGTTTTGACAACACTAAATATAACCTCAGAAATTACAGCAAATCAACCCCAGAAACACTCTATGGAATGTAGAAATAACATGAAAGTAGAAGAAGAGAGAGTGAAGAACATGAGAGAAGAGAGAGGACAAAATTTGAACCCACAAAGGGTTCCTAAGCTTCCTTAATGTGTTTCCCTAAACCTCTTTATATAGAAATAAGATTGGGCTTCCTTTTTTTGGTGTTGTAATCTTCTTTATGATAATGCATTCTCCTCTAATTATCTTCTAAATAATCTAATATTTTCAACATATATTTGATTGTTGTGAAGATCTAAAAATATTTAAGAAAATATTGCTAGATTAAAAAAGATTTGATAAATATTATCTTTTGATATTTATTGATATAATTAAATAAGGTAACATTTAACAATATGAAATAAAATATCTTAAGATATATTTTCCCCAAATTATCTTTAATAATAAAAATTTATCAATTATCAAAGCCCTTTTAGTAGAAAAAATAGAGAAAATCGCAAGATCCAATTTTTGTTGCATCTTCTTTCTTTTTGGCTTAGCCAAATTTCTTCTCTCTTCCATGCTATGCTTGAATTGACTTCTTATGATCTTGATTATTTTTTATCTTTGGATTTATCTTTAAGGTGTCATGAAACTTTAACCAATTTATTTTCACACCTTAATAAACTCAACTTAATTACAATTGTACTAACACACCTCAAAATATCAAAAAAACATTTATACAACAAAAAATTATTTTTAACATGTTTTTGTATCTCATACTAAATAAATCCAATTATAACAAATTGTAATTAAAATATTCTATTAAAATACAAAAACTAATATTAAAGACTAAATAATCACATAAATGCGTTCATCAATAAATTATATATATATATATATATATATATATATATATATATATATATCTAAAAAATCATATAAAAAAATTATATATTAAGTTTTGAATAACTTATAAATTTGAGAATTTATAATTAAATTTTATTAAAAAAATCCATTTTATTCAGTGCTAACAAATATCTTTTAATTTTAGTTGGAATATTGCCCATTTAAATTTTTCCGTAAAAGAATGATGTTACCATTATTTGTGTGATCAAATTAGGTAGAATGGAGCATTTTAATCTATTCCAAATATAAATATAGATAAGATTAATTACTCTAAATTATCTATCATTAAATTTGATAATAATTCCATTAAAGTAGCATTCACACAAATTTGTAATAAGATTAAAAACATAAAAAGAAAATAGAACAAAAAGTGTGATTTTTCTTTCCAATTTTCTCCAACTAGTCATTCAAATTGCACTTAGAAAAATAGTGAATTGATAAGTGAGTTTAAAGAGATAGAAGAAAAAAAAAGTGAATTAAATACTAGGAAACAAAACCAATAATCACATCTTTCTAAAATACTTAGACTCAAATAAAAAAAATGTAACATATTAGTAAAACTTGAAGAAGAAAAAAACACTTCTAACAAATTATTTGATAAATTTTTTTTAATATTTTATTTTTAGTTTTAAAAGATTTTATGGAAAATTTTCCAAATATACCCATTAACATTTGGAAAAGTCTTATCTATGACAATTTCAAAAGATTAGTTAGTACGAGAGAGCAATCAGAGAGATCTCTCTACGTGTTTGTATAACCAAATACCCCATGAAACCTGCTTCTCTCGGTCTCTATCCTCCTTTTGACTTTCACTCACATGATCACTGCAAAAAACAAAAACCACAGTGTTTTTCTTCATTCTTCTCTGTTGAAAACACAGAAGGGGAAAAGCATAGCAAGAAGAAAGGGTTTGAACATGGGAACTAATGACTTATTCAACACAGACAAATCCCTCTCCCTCATGAAGAGACTTCTTCCATGGACTCTCTGTGTCCTCCTTCCCATTTCATTCTTTTACCCTTTACCCTTTTCTCCATTTCCTAATCCTCATCTTTCCCTTTCCTCCAATAACACCATCACCTACCTTTCTTCTCTTTCTGCTTCTGCTTCTCCACCTTCTTCTCCAGGTTTTTCCATGCACACTTTCTTATTCATAAGATTGTAAAGTTCTCATTTTTTCTTCTTGTATATGTTAAATATTCATTCAAATTTTCATTTTCGGTCTAACTATGTATATGTATGCGTAAGTTTAGGACATGTTTGTTTCTGTTTTTAATTTCTGGTTTTGCTTTTAATTCACAAAAACTGTTGTCCTGTTTTGAATTACTTTTTCTGTTTTCATAGGTTTGAATAGAAAAAAGCAAGAATAACAAGGGAAAGTTTAAAAATTTAGTTATAAAACTCAATTGATGAGTTAATGGGAATTAAAATTATGTGTTTGTGCCTTGAATTGTAACATGATTAGCAACCTGGGATGTGTTACAAGACTTTGTTGTTCTTCATTGCAGAAAGAGAAAAAACTAATGAGACTAGATGTGACTATTTCAATGGTGAATGGGTGAGTGACAGTAGGGGTCCTTTGTACAATGATACAACATGTGGTACTATCAAAGAAGGTAGGAACTGCATAACACATGGAAGGACTGACTTGGAATATCTAAAATGGAGATGGAAACCGATTGAGTGCAACCTTCCAAGGTTTGAGCCTCAAACTTTTCTCCAACTCATTAAGAACAAGCATGTAGCTTTTGTGGGGGACTCTATGGCAAGGAACCAATTAGAGTCCCTTCTGTGCATGTTAGCCACTGCTTCAACTCCTAAACTTGTCTACAGCAACAAAACTAGAAAGGAAAACCAGTTCAGCAGGTGGAACTTTCCCTCATTCAATGCAACTGTTTCCTTGTATTGGTCTCCTTTTCTTGTGTATGGCATTGAAAAATCAAGCACTGACCCTAATAACAAATTGTACTTGGATCATGTGGATGAGAGATGGGCAAGGGACATGGATGAAATGGACTTGATTGTGTTATCATTTGGGCATTGGTTTTTGATTCCAGCAGTTTACCATGAGGGAGATTCAGTCTTAGGTTGCCATTACTGTCCTGGTCTTAATCACACTGAGATTGGTTTTTATGATGTGTTGAGAAAAGCCCTGAGGACCACCTTGAAGAGCATAGTTGATAGGAGAGGAGCTAGAGGCAGAGGAATTGATGTGATTGTGACAACATTTACACCACATCATTTTGAAGGAGAGTGGGATAAGGCTGGTGCTTGTCCAAAGACTAAGCCTTATAGGAATGAGGAGAAGATACTTGAAGGAATGAATGCTGAGATGAGAAAGATTGAGATTGAAGAAGTGGAAGAAGCCAAGGCAAAAGCCAGGAGAAGGTTAAGGTTGGAGGCATTGGATGTGACCAAGTTAGCATTTCTGAGACCAGATGGCCATCCAGGTCCTTATATGAATCCTTCTCCATTTGTTAATGGAAATGTAAAGCATGTGCAGAATGATTGTGTTCATTGGTGTTTGCCTGGACCTATAGACACATGGAATGAGATTCTTCTGGAGATGATGAAGAACTGGGAAAATCAACTAAGGACTGAAAACTGAGATATTTCTCATCATGAAATTTGGATTCTTTTGTTGAATTTTTAGTGCCATCATACTGATGAAAACTGAGTTTGATATTTTAGAATATACCAACATAGTACATTTTCAAGGCTTAGCAGAAGAACACCAAAAACTCAGGAGAGAATTTGGACTCCATATCTTGTTGGTTGATTATATTTTAGTTTTTCCATCACAAGTGTTGGAAAATTTCATTGGATGAGAGCAAGGAATGATTGGTTTTGTTTATTGTTTTCTTTCAAATTGGATTGGAAAATGTCATTAACATTATATAACGATCTTTTTCTTTAAATCTGAATAACTTAACACTCTGGTTTCTGATCAGAAAATTTGATGCATCCTCTCTGTCTCTCTCTCAGTTTGAGTAACTATAATGTTCATCAAACTTATTCATATCTAAGGAGAAAAAGATGATTTTTCTCATGTGATAGTTGCTGTTATTTGCTCCAGTAATCAATCATTGATTTAGCTAAATAATAACAAAAATTGGATGGATTGTTCTTTAGATTTTTCTCTTGTGAATAAATCTTCTAAATTCAGAGGTTTATCATAATACCTTGGAATCAACCCACCATAATTTCAATTGTGTCCAAAGCAAAGAAATCCCTTTCCAAAGCCAAAAAAAGAATGTCTTAAATATATCTATTGGAAGTTTATTTTCTCAAATAGATTTATTGGAATCAAATTTAAACTCAATATTTTAAATTACCTTTCCATAATTTTAATTTTAATTTTTAATATTTAATTATTTTTATTTTTTCTCCCCATTTTAGAAGACAAAAAAACTAACTCTAAAGAAATCCATCATGAAAAATAATGTTTCAGTGGATCGATTTAAGAAATTTTTCTGCAGTATTACTTTTGAGAAAAAAAATCTAATTTAACTGAAAGCTACTAATTTTTATTTTGATATTAATTTTAGTTACTATCGATTTAGTTAATACTAATGATGATAATCTTTTGGAAATAAGATTAATTTTGACTTAACTATACTAGTTTTAGTAAATATTGAAAATAAATTAAATTAGTATATACTCATAAGTTAATATATTTAATTTCTAATATTATCTTAAATGAATTTTTTTTTTCTTACTTTGATTGGAGAGGAATAATGTCTCTGAACCATCAGGGCGTTGGTGGATAATATTTACATATATTTCCAGTGCTGAATAATTGAGTAGTATAATAAAACTATAAAGGTTTAAAGTTAAATAAAATATATAGCAACATTAATAATAGTAATAACAGTTTATCACTTACTCTCATATTTTCATTTTTGTAACTTGATATTTAGCCTTAATTGGTTAAAAACACATTTGGTTTAATAAAAGTTGCAGAAAACGAAAGGTCAATCTACTGATTCATATTCATTTGGAATCTTCCATTAACTTCTCCACCACTTTTATTGGTTACTAAAAATGTAATAATATTAAGGCAGTTTTTTTCTTCATTTCCAAGTATAAAAAAATATTTTTTCCTTTTCAATTATATAATTTAGAAATTAAAAACAAATTTTGGATTATATAATCTGAAAGTCAAAAGTAATTTATAAATCATAGAAAAATTAAATGATTTCTAAAAGTTATTTTTCTTTTTTAAACCTGTTCAATTTTTGAATGTTAAAAGTAATTTTTTTATTGTGTACTTTAAAATTTTTCAGATTATAAAATCTATAAAAATTTTGGATTATATAATTTGAAAATGTAGTGTATGCTTGATTCAAGATAATTTCAAGATCAATTTGAAAATGTAGTGTATGCTTGGTTCACATTATAAGTAAATAGTCTAATTTCAAGATCAATCATATTTTTGTCGATCACATGTGATTGATCATCCTTGGTTTATTATTTATGATTGGCCACTTATGACTAACCACTCTAGAGTGACTACATATGACTGATTACACTTGGTGACCACATTTGTCCAACTACTTTTGGTTGATCACATTTGGTTGTCTACTCTCAGTCGATCATCTCGAGAACTACTCATCCTTGGTCAATTATCCTTTGGTTGATCATCCAGACTGACAACAAGATCGACTTATTACAAAATGAAGTTAGATTGACACGAATGATAATCACAAATCAACATGTTAATATTAATTAAGGTATGATTAAGCTATGATTAAGTCGACAAAAAAGTAACAACTCATAAATATTACAAAAGTAAAAGTCTAAGGTATGACTTTCATTTATATGCACAATACAACTAATGTTTTTCTGCTTAGTCATCTACTGATTTTAACATCAAGATATCTTCTGCAAATAGTATTCAAATGACTTTAATAAGCAATTTAAAGTAAATTTAAAGTATATAAGAAAATATGTAACAACCTCCTAATTCTGGTATTTATTACAAAACAAAATATATATATATAT